ATTTTTTTATTTATTTTTATTGATCAGAGTTTCTACTAACCTTGACTTATAAAGCAGTGATTTTCTGTTTCCTGTGATTGCAAACCCAAAATAACAAAGAGGGACATTAATTTTCTGGCCAAAGACCAAAAAGGCTGGAGGAGAAGAACCATTTTTAAGACCAAAATCAGTAAGTAAGGTGATAGATATTTAGAAAAAAAAAAGATATTCGAAACTAAGTATTGGAGTTGAAATATTACCAGGTCTTTTTAACAACCATCAGGTGCTATTAATTGTTTTATTTTTTTGTGCGTTTCTATTGTTCCACACTGAATAAATTTCCTCAAGTTAAAGGTTGTAATTTCCAAGCATTTCCACGTAACACTATGTTGCTGCCATAAAAAATACATTTATTTTAAGACTTACTGGGGATACTGTTGCATTTCCTTTTTTTTGTAAACTTCTCTTTTTGTTTCTCTCTCACATGATTCAACTTTTTGGATTAAACTTTAAATTGTCAGCACACCTTAGCATATACTGTAGTGGTTACCTGCCTTTGGGACTGTTGTGTATCAGCTGCACTGGGTTACCACAGTGAAGAGCCAGCAGGATAACTGAAATAATTAAAGGTCAGAAAGCAGTGCAGAAATGAGGCTGATGATAATGAGGCCTGCATGACAGGCCTTGAAACAGAGGAGGGAAATGGCAGGGAAGCCTGTGACTGAATGTATAGTAAACATTTCCATAGCACTCGTCTCTCGTTTAAGCACAGACCTATTAAATATTAACACTCCAATTTTTAACTCAGGACTGTGTTTGTTTGTGAAATCCGATGGTATGTTTGACAGAGGAGGAGCCTTGCAAACAAAAGTTTAGCTTTACACATACATTTTTTATTTTTTTCAAAAAGATCATAACACATACAGTAGCTAGTGATTCAAATAAATAAGAGTCTGGGTCTGCTTTTAACCAGAAAACATTGTTCCTACGTCTTTTAGAAGTTTTTAACTTGTTGCAATATAAGGTAAGTCTTACTCTTTACCACTTAGCTTTTACAATTTGTAATGTAAGGTTGTGTTTAGGGAGACAAATAAACCAAAATTAGCTTTTATCTACAGCCTTTTGTCAACATCTCTAACATGTGTTACAGCTGTATGTATGCATAGCCCTGTTTAGCACTGGCACCTTGTCTGTCTCACCTCCCTAATACCGCCTTGCCTGCCTCTGCCTCCCTGCAAGGGGCCCCAAGGGGTCCCTGTGTCCTGTCAGAACACCACTGTGCATGACTTTCATTAGCCAGCACCCCACAGGCACTGTCACGCAGCGTAAACACACCCCAGTGACACACGGCGAAAGCAGGCTGTCGCCACCCAGACGTACAACAGAAGGCTTTTGTATGCTCGTTATATGCCTGCAGCATTGTACAGCAGGTAGCAGAGGAAAAAATGAAAATTACATATATACATATGTTGATATGTATTTCTACGTAATTGCACAAGTCAACTTTTAACAACCTTGTAAACTGAAATACGCTATGCTAGAATTAGAACCCTACCCTATTGTCAATAATGTCAGCTGATTCATGTTTTGTAGGGAATTGAAATAACTACTTCTTTTCTACTTTTTGCATAAACAGATTTTCACAATTCTGATTGTAAAATGTTTATGGTATCTAAAATGTGACCTGTTATAACAAAACTTTGATGTGTCTTTTGACAGTAAAACAATCAGACTTTTTAGTTTCCAGCCAGACAGTGCCAGCCTAACGATGATCAAGCTGATTCGTCATAATTACAATTACAGAAGCATCTAGATATATCTTTAATATGCACAAATATATTATAAATATTTTCCTTTGTTGTGAAAATTCTGTGTATCCACAGCAAGTTAATGACAAGTAGAGAGCCCACAAACAACACTTAAACTTGATATTAATACAGATAAAAATAAGTACATACAGCTTATAAGATATACAAGAGTGATATGTAAGATAATGAAAGAGTTGTATAAAGTACTTTTCTGTGTAGATACAACAGAAAATGTAGGGGAAAAAATGGAAAACTCCATTAATCAGATGGTGACCAGTATCGGCCAACTTGATCTGTTTAAAAACTCAAAAATCTTTCCCTAACTAACATACTACCTATACAGTAGAGGGCTGCACTGATATATGCAGTCTTCAAAATAAATGCAGCTTCTATTTGAGAAAAAATCAAACTCACCTATTTTTATTGTCATAATCGGTAAGGAAGTTGTGTTTTCTACCACACGGGATATATTTGCACATGTGCTGGGCACATAAGGGGGCTCGACATATTTCTTTCAAGTTGTTTATCCTTTTTAGCTTAAACTGCTGTATAATACAAAGCATGGGTAGAATTATTACTGAATATGATGAAAACGTTAATGGAAATGTCCATTATAACTTTTTAATGCAATAGTGCTGTTCAAAATCTGTTAAAGATATAGTGGAGGATCTGGGTGGATCATCAAATAGGTGGTCCTGCTAACTATCAATCACTCTGGTGATACGTTTGCGCAAAGCCTACGTCCTACTGTACGTGCTTGTCACCATTTTCACTTACCGGTTATGAGTCTGACAGAGTGGGAAAAATTGCAAATCTTTTGGAAAGTAAGTTTGTATGAGCGATGCAAGCAGCAACTTTTAAACAGAGCGTGCACAAGGAGAAATGGGCTTGTACATTCTCTAACCCACGTTTAATAGGTGTTCCCTTTCGGGAGCGGGAACAGGGTTGTGCATGTGCACTTTTTTTTATAAAAGTGGAGAGGGCAGGTGTTTTACAAAATTTGCAAAAATCCTCCACTATACCTTTAAGTTGTAGTGCACTGCTTGCAATCTCTGTTAAGCAATACTCTTCAAAAGCAGAAACAGTTGTACAACCTGAAATAACTGTGTTGTGTTAATCCGATGGTGATGTACAGAATCAGACAGATGATACATGAAGAAAGGTCATGTGGACCCTCGAAACATCTTTTACTGCTACACTTTTTTACAGTCTGTTATACTTGGAAAAAAAAACGTGTTTTCCATGCTCAGTTGCTTTCTTTTCTTCTCTTTCTTTTTGTCGTTCTCTAAAACCGTTGTTGATCTGTCCATCTCGTTTGTTGCGTTGCTGATCTTGTGTGTTTGTGCGCACTGGTGTGTGTACTTGTTCCTTTGGGCCATGGTGGGGATGTGGTTTTGTTCTATGGACTTCATGTTGTTGGGGGGGAAATTAGGGCATGCATCAAGAAGGGCAATGCTTCAGCAGTTACATGGAGTCACTATGTACTCCCATGACGAACACCACACCACCACCTCGTACTGCTGGAATGAGAGAGGTAAGGGGGCTTTGGCAGACACACAAAAACATCCACAGCTGTCCTGCTGATTTGTTTGCGTCCGTCCGTCAGTCAGAATGTCAACCTTTGTCATGGCCCTGTGTCATCTAAACATGCCTTCAGCTGTGTCACCTTGTTTAGACTGTTTTGGGACTGGGTGGGTCATGTGACCTTTATAGAAGAGCTGCTGAATCCTTTACGACGCCTTTGCTTGTTATGGCTGTTAAGGTTAAGGGTGAATTTTCTTATTTCAGTACAGTAGCTATACTGGGATTTAAAGACCAAACATTTTAGCACATCTCTGGTTAGAGCAAATTGAGAAACTATTAAGCTTTACATTTTTTCACATTGCCTCCAAAAGCATCAGTGACAATTTATTGTATTTTATTGAAACACAAAAACAAAGAAGCAGCTAGTTGCTAATGGAAAATATGCTACTTTTTTACTCTCAAAAATATATCTGTGATATGCCTTCGTATACAGCCCATTTTTTACTTGATTAATAAACTTCCTTTGCTTTATCTTTCACAAATATTACTAAAATATGTTTTTGGCCTGACATAAAATCTTTAGAAAAACATATTACTGTTGATGATTCTGATTAGACAAAATTGTGATAATCTTTTAAGGATTATAATATTTTCTATTTGAATTTAGCTAATACAAAAAAAGCACCTGTCAGACACAGTTAGATAGCATGATTTATTCAACAAACTCTAAAACATGTCAGATAGAGACAGTTTTTCAATATCTGTTGGGATTCAATTCATCTCAGCACAGCATGCTTTGCTTCCATCTGTAGTTACTTTTACATGAAGCCTCTACTTTTTGTAGCATCAGTCTAAGAGTGTAGGTAGTACTGCGCGTCTCTTGGCTCTAAATAATTCAGAAATGCAGCAATACGGAAATACTTTCATGATGGAAACCTTAAGCACACAATGGAGGAGTGGAACACAGAGTGCCTAAATGGAGTTAAAGGAGCTTTTGAAATTGGCACTGCTCCTAGTGTGTGTGTGTGTTTGAGTTTCTCAGGACTGAGTCCTGTCAGTGACTATGGACTGGTATCAAAGCGTAGATATATGTGTCTTCTCATATGTGTGAGGGTGTGTAAGTGTGTGTTTCGGACAGGTGGTGATTGTGTTCAGGTATGTCTTTTTTGTGAAGTTTCATTTTGCTTCTAAATGTGACATCTATCCGTTGGCATTTTGTTGCAATGTTTTAAATCACTTATAGACAATATATATGAACCATATTTGAGTTTTCAGGATGTTTTTTCTACCTGCCTTAACACTCATTTTTATTTCCATATGCCCCTCTTTTCTTTTTGTCTTTTATCATCCTGCCATACCTCCTTTTTGATCATGCTATCATTCCTTCCCATCAATCTTTCCCCAACTGTTGTAAATAACCTCTTTCTTAAACTGTACCTTATGTCTCTCTTCTTTATTGCTCATCATCTTCTCTCCATTGCTTCCCATCTGTCTCTTCATTCATTGTTTCTTCTTCTACCATGCCTTTGTGTTCGGCCATTCTCGCTGCTGCCACTGCTGCAGAGAGCCGTGAAAACTCCTTCAGCCGCTCTCGCAGCTCCAGCGTGTCTAGCATTGACAGGGACACCAAAGAAGCTATCACCACACTGCAGTTTGGAGAGTCCTATGGACGCAAGCATGATGCCCTCCCCACACCATGTCTGTGGGTGGGAACTAGTTTAGGAGTGGTCATTCTCATCCCACTGTCAATCCCCACTGACCATGAGGAGCGGATCGAGGACCCTGTAACAGTTGGCCCTAGTGGTAAGCTATAAATATGTTTCTTACACGTGTTTTGCTGGCTGGTGTTAATTAAATACAAATTGCATTGCGTTAGGTCATAATGAGAAACGGATTTCTAGTTTGTGACTGATGAAACATCTGGTGAAGACCATGGTCATGTTTCTGTCTGAGTATTTTTTAATGCCTGGTTAAATCATCTGCTTTTGATAGCGTACCATTGTTTTTCTTGTAAATGTGCTTAACATTAGTAGAGCTAGATTTGTCTGGAACCAAAATCATTACATGGTGTTGTTTTGAACAACCTCAGTGCTCAAGTCACAACTGAGATAGGCCTAGAATGCAGCCACAGTTGATAGAACCATGCATCAAATTCAATTCCTATACTTTGAAATGTCTTTTAATTATTTATTTTTTTGGTCTCTTTAAAATGCATATTTTATAAGATGGGCTCTAAATTAAATTTACAATAGAAAGTGTAGATTAGAGATATCCTGTATTATCTCAAAAAGGGGGGATTCTAGATGACAAATTAGGCTTGCAATTGTTAGTATACAGAACTAATATAAAAGAGATTCTCACTTTTGCTAAAATGAGTGACAATTAAAAAAGTGGGATTCACCCTATGCTTGAATACCCTTGTATTTCAAAGAGTCAATGACGCATGAAGAGAAACAAAACTAGAACATTAAAGATCTATACATGATATAAAAATGGGGGGCTTTCCTTGATGGGAAGAACAGCTACGAGTGTCTTTTTTCAGGGGCAATGTAACACCATTTTTAGTCGGTCCCAAAATCGTAGGAAGCCCATAGTCAGTCTTAACCTTATCGTATTAAATCCGAAAGTTTAGGTTTTCATCTACAATGGTTTGTTTTCATTCTACAAACAGCATTGGGGATAAAAAGTGTTGAAATTAGAGTATAGATAAAAAATTTGGATTGACTCCGGTTTGACATAAAATTATTTAACAAAGCAGATTTTTAAAAACGGGCCCAGATTAGCCCGGATTTCCTGTACTGATTTGTAAAATCGGTGCAGACCTGCATTGGGGTGCCTGTCAGAAATACAGGTCCTTATTAAAACGTATTTGTTTTGAAAAAGGAAAAAAAAAATTGTATATAAATATATATATATATATTTTAGACCATCTTAAAAATACATCAAGCATTGAAAACTCATTTATTTTCATTGAATTGAATCTGCATTGGAAGGGAACTTTAATAGGCCTTTGTCATGCTTGATTTGGCAAAATTACTGCTATCACTCAGGAGTTCATAAGGTTTTGCAGTTCGTTTACACATGATTAAAACAGAAGCAGACAGATGTGCATTGCTTCCTGATTTGTCAGAACTAAGGCAGGAATACATATTTCAAGGTGAAAATTATTTAATTGCCTGTCTTAAGTAATGTGTGTAAAAAATAAAAAAAACCTATAGCTATTGCGATTTAAGGTTCTCAGCTGTCCATATTTTCAAGACGTCACTGTTCTCAAATTTACGATGTAAAATGAACTAATACATGCAAAAACTGAACATTAAATTCATCTTCGCCCCTATCCATTTCTAAACTTTTTCGATTGATCTCAATCTAAGATCAAATGTGAAATGTATGTTGTCATGAATTCCACATTGTGGATTAATGGCCTTATAGAAGTGAATATTGTGTTTAATTGTGTTGTATGGCTCAGAATGCACTTGACTAAATGGAAAAGTACAACTCTAACAAACTAGGGCACTGCATCCAGCAGTTCAATAGAGTTTGCATTTGTAGCCATTGAAATTTTGGTCCGCTTACCACTTTTTTTATATCTATCTGATCGTTTCAGGGGCAGTCCTAATGTTGAAAGGCTCTGTGCTTCGTTTTGCTTTCTTGGACTGCAATGGAGCTCTTATTCAGAGCCCATATGAGGTTTGGAGGGACCTGAATGCTCCAGAGGACCCTGATCGACCAAGGAGGCGCAAGCTGGTCCACTTTTCCCCATCCTCTTCCCAGGATGCCTTTGGGGAAGGACATTTGGCAGTGGTGTGCTCTGAGAGGCAGGCCAAAGTGTTCCTGATGCCCTCACAGTCTTGCCTCTTTGTCCACAACATCACAGAGTCATCCTTTGTGCTCCGAGCAGATGTGGTATCTCTGTGCAACAGTGTGTGTTTGGCATGCTTCTGCGCTAATGGACATGTCATGACACTCAGGTACAATCGCCAGTTCTCACCAGACTCTACATATGGATCACACTATCTTATCAGCAGCTGTAGCAGTATTAGGTGCTTTAGCATAGAATAAAATTCGCTTGTTTTTTGTAAACACACTTCATATTGATGAGCCTCAAACTACAGGAGGATCTAAATATCCTTCTGTAGTTTGAGGCTAGTTTTATCATGGATTACCTTTTTAAATGTATTCACTGATATAACTTTGAACATTAAAAATATTCAGGGTTTTTGGCACATGATTTTAAAAAGTTAGGTTTTTATTTTCATGTTTCCTATCTCTTACACTGCACTTTACAAAAGTAATCAAAGTCTTTCAATTTTGTGATTTTACAACCACAAATGTTCAAAATTCCACAAAAATGTTTTTTGTGTGTGTGTGCGTGTGTTTGTGTCTCTTGATTGTATTTTATTTTTTTTTTTAATTTTTTGTGGGGATATTGTGATGCATCAACACAATTCCAACTTTTAAGGGGGGTTGTCTATTATTGCTTCAGACATTAAGAACAGGAAAAAATTTTCCGTTCTTCTTCACAAACCAATCCAAGTCAAGCTTAGTCAGATTAGATGAACAGTATCTGTAAAAAATAATACAAGTCATGCAACAGATTCATAATTGGATTTCAGCAAATAAATACGCTTTGAGCTTTTTGTTGTAGCTCTTGTTTTATGTTACGGGTTTTGTCCTGCTGGAAGAAAAAATATCCTTCACCTCTTGCCAATTTTTTGCCACCACTACAAGTTGTTCTTCCAGGGTTGAAAGCCATTTACCATTGGTCCAACAACTCACCATTAACTTTCCCTACTTCATGATGTTACCACTTACATGTTTCATAGTAGGGATAGTTTGGGCATGTCTGTCATGTCACCTTAATGGCTTGAGGGAAACTGCAAATTAGACCTCTTCTGGCTTTTTTCAATGATGAATTTCTTTTTTCCACTTTAAAATTAGACCATATTTGTGAGGCACATTGATGAGCAATTTTAGCCATTTTATTATGAGTTTATTAATAACTGTAAAATAGATTATAGTTAATAATTTCTTTAATCAATGGTAAACATCACTTAATGTTTGTCAAATGATTATAAATGACAGTGTGCTTAATTACTAGGTGTTATTAACGGCTTACCTTTGTGACTTGATGTTTGGACCGGCTGTTAAAATTGAAGTTGTAAATGTCAATAACTTTGTTTACAATTAAGCACAGTTATAAATCATTAACCACAAAAAAATATTTGTCTTTCTCTAAGTTTTTAACTCAAAGGCAGTTAATTCAGTTATTGGAGACAATCTGTCACTGCTGTATAAACTTTCACAGACAACCATAATTAAAATAATGGTACTTTTATTGAACCTAATAATGCCTGTCACCGTAGTATTATGTTTGATAAACTGCAAACTCTACAAGCTACTGGAATTAAAACAGAATACATTAAATAACCAGTAAACATAAAAGGGTTCCAATGAGTCCTTGAGGTAGAGTTTTTGATGATGCTCAATTTATTAGCGTAGCTGTTGTGATGCACTGAGGAAATGTCCATCAGTTTAGCAGCATAGATGATATACTGCAGACAGATGTGGAACAATAGCCTGTATCAACATGCAACTCATTCATTGATAGCAGTTCAATCAATCAGCTGAATCAAAATCAAATTATGGACAACTGCCAATAAGCACAATGCATTTGATACGACAGCATTGATGCTTCTGTTGTCAAGGAAACTGCTAGCTTAGCTGCTAACAGAGCTAATCCACAGCTAACGAAAACAGGCTACAAACATGATACCACAATCAGGCTAAATCTTGCACGTTAGCAGGATGTTAGCCATAGGCCAGGAGGCCATAGATGTTAGTCCATGCCAAAAGTAGGTACCAGATCTGCTCGGGTGGTCAGATCTGCTTAGGGCCCTCCCCTTTCTTACAAGGTCATCATATGGCAACTCCACTTGCACAAACTATATAGCACCTGTTTCTTAAGAATAAAATCTCTTTTGGAGTCTCAACATATTATTACCCATATTTGCTATTATTTAACATTTCAATAGTGATCTAAAGTAGCCGAAAGTAGAAAACAATCATTCTCAGTCTTGAGGGAAAGCACTACCTTCTAAGACAAACTGAGTTCTGCCATTTACAAGGTGACAAAAAAAGTCTTAGCTTATTTTTATTCTTTTTATTAAGATCTGAGGGCATAGAAGGACAAATGAAACATCCTAAAAAATTATTTTCATAGAGATTTTAGACCAAGAAAACAACAGTTAATCTACTTGTAGAAAATGAACGCTTGTCATTGAAGCAAAGTTAGAGAACGAGGAAGGATCCAGTTGGTGGGCTGCCAACAAGCTATGGCGGGTGCCGCCCACAGTCCCCAGATGCTGCAACCCCAGAGGACAGAGAACAAGCAGGGAACCAAATCCGTGCTGACATAAGAAAATCCAGCGGGCTTATCCAAAGCCGGGGTTGAGGACATGTTCAGGATTCAGGACCAGTAGATCAGAAGTCCGAAGAGGTTCAGAAAGGAAATCCAGGTTGTGACAGGAAGCAGCTCCAATTTCAGAAAACAGGCAGAATCCAGCAGGAGTCCAAAAACAGGTCAGGCAAACAGATCAGACAGGTAAAGACAAGCTCAGTGGTTGAGAGGCAGAAGAGGTCAGGATTAGGTCATCAGAAACACAGAGGTAACATTGAATCACTCTCACCACTGGCTTGAGAGAATAATCAAAACCTGATGACTGGTTAGAGAGCTGGTTAAGTAAAAGCAGGAGCAGGTGAATAAGATGAACAGTAAAAAGTAAACAGGTGGAGATATGCAGGAAAATGAAATGAGTAAGCCAGTCATCAGCACCAAGATCATGACAAATTCTACTCACCTTGGCTAGCCAACCTTTTTAGTAATAGGAAGATTCTTTACTTTATTGCTCTCTCACAGTGGGGGGAAGAAGGGGCTCTGGTCTGGTTCCACTGTGTCCATGGCAGCTTAGAAAATTTAGAGTCAGCTCAGTACTGCACAGGTTATATTGTAGAACCTTAAACCTTTTGATCACTTACAGACCTTGTAAGAGAGCGTCTTCCTGATGCACTCAGTTTGCAAGGGTTCCTGCTCACTTACATGAGGAGAAGGTAGTCACAGCAGCTTGGTGGTTTCATGGGCTGAGAACTTGCTCAATAACGCTGGAGGCACGCAGGGACTCAGCGGTTCGTGGGTCAGGAACACTCACAGAGTAGAAGGCATCCTGGGCACAGCATGTCAGGTCAGGATGGAACGAGGTGCTATTTTAGTCAATCAGTCGGAGATTTAAATGCCCCTCATCCNAACTGCTAGCTTAGCTGCTAACAGAGCTAATCCACAGCTAACAAAAACAGGCTACAAACATGATACCACAATCAGGCTAAATCTTGCACGTTAGCAGGATGTTAGCCCTCCCCTTTCTTACAAGGTCATCATATGGCAACTCCACTTGCACAAACTATATTGCACCTGTTTCTTATTATTAACCATATTTGCTATTGTTTAACATTTCAATAGTGATCTAAAGTAGCCGAAAGTAGAAAACAATCATTCTCAGTCTTGAGGGAAAGCACTGCCTTCTAAGACAAACTGAGTTCCACCATTTAACAAGGTGATAAAAAAGTCTTAGCCTATTTTTATTCCTTTTATTAATATCTGAGGGCATGGAAGGACAAATGGAACATCTTTAAAAAATGATTTTAATAGAGATTTTAGACCAAGAAAACAACAGTAAATTAACGCTTGTCATTGACGCAAAGTTAGAGAATGAAGAACGATCCAGTTGGTGGGCTGCCAACAACCTATGGCAGGCTGCCCACAGTGTCGCAGATGCTGCAACCCAAGAGGACAGAGAACAAGCAGGGACCAGATCCGGGCAGACAAAGGAGGGCAGGAAAATCCAGTGGGCTTAGCCAAAGCCTGGCTTGAGGACAACTTGAGGACATGTTCAGGATTCAGGACGAGTAGATCAGAAGTCCGAAGAGGTTCCGAAAGGAAATCCAGGTTGTGACAGGAAGCAGCTCCAATTTCAGCAAACAGGCAGAATCCAGGAGGAGTCCAAAAACAGGTCAGGAAAATAGATCAGACGGGAACAGGCAAGCTCATTGATTGAGAGGCAGAACAGGTCAGGATTTTGTAATCAGAAACACTAAGGTAATGCTGAATCACTCTCACCACTGGGTTGAGAGAATAATTATAACCTGATGACTGGTTAGAGAGCTGGTTAAATAGAAGCAGGAGCAGGTGGATAAGATGAACCGGCTGGAGATATGCAGGAGAATGAAATGAGTGAGCCAGTCATCAGCACCAAGACCATGACAAATTCTACTCACCCTGGCTAGTCAACCCTTTTAGTAATAGGAAGATTCTTTACATTGTTTATTCGTGGGTCAGGAACGCAGAGTAGAAGGCATCCTGGGCACAGCATGTCAGGTCAGGATGGAACGAGGTGCTATTTTAGTCAATCAGTCGGAGATTTAAATGCCCCTCATCCATTGAAGAAACAGGCAATATCAGCAATGGTGATGCTCGCTTTTCAGCTCTAAGTTTCTTCAAAGAGGGATGCAGTCAATTTTGCCAGCTAAACTGACCAATTTTTGGGGAGTTTTCACCACATATAAAGGGATGTCCAGCTGGAATGTTTGTCTCTCCATTGGATCCAAATGTAGGTCTGCTGGTAGAGAAAGAAAAAGGGTGTTCCAGTAGTTTCAAAGGTCCCACAGGGTGAGTTTTAGGATGTCAAAGGGATGGCTGTGCTGCAACACAGCCATAACCTGATCCTTAACAGTGAAGTTGTAATTAGATCCACAACAACATGGCTAATAGTTGTCAACATATTGGTACACCTTAATTGTGGATCTCTGCCTATCTACTGTAGGGCTTTTAAAAGCTCCTTTAAATAATGTTTTCCTTTCCCATCCCACCAGTTTAGGTAAAACAGGCATGCCTCTGTAGCATTACAGTTATGCTGTGCTCTTTACTTTTTTTTATTATAATTTCCTAGTGCTCCATGAGACATTTCAATCTTGGGATTTAGTTTTAGAACCTAATTCATTTTAAAAAAATCTCCACAACTTTTACTCTGGCCTGTCTTTCCTGTTCATAAAACCGATTAAATTCATTAAAACTTCACAGAACGTCTCAATGAACACTGAGATTAGGTTGCAAAGAGGCAGATTACAATAACTTAGGTGATTAGGTGATTTCTAAAGGTAATAGGTTGCACTGGATTTCATCTTTGGTATCGGAGTTAAGTAAACTTGAAACCTATTTTTCAGATTGTATTAATCAATACACTTGTATTTTTTTTTTTTTTTCATTTTGTTTTGTTTTTTAGTTGACCTTCATGATTTGTTTTGTTCCATAAAATAAAATACAGATTAAGCTCACTGAGTTTTGTGGTTGTAATTTTACAAAATGAGGGTGTTAATAATTTTGCAAGAAATTTAGTTTCAGTTTCAGATCAGAACTCTTAAAATTCACTGCATAGTGAGTGTTTGAGATCCCAACACTTAGAAGTATAGCTGATTGGTTTCTTTGATTTTATGGTGTATATTGTATATTGTTCAGGTCATGAATATTATAATACCATTTGGGAGCTATATCTGATTGCACACCAACTTTCTAGTCTTGTCTCACACGTTTATTTGAAAGTATACTGTTCTCATAATTGAGAGAATCTGCTTGTAGAGATTAGTCCTCATGACTCAGCTGGAGGCAAATTGGTTCTATTTGAATATCTGATTTCCTTCTCACTGCTGGGTACAGAGTTAGCTGTTACCATCTTTGGGTTCCTACAAGGTATAACTTATATGATCGAAGCTTTCCCCTGGTGTCTAATTTACTTTTCCCTCCTGTCATTCATCACACAGTTTGCCCAGTTTAAGACCGCTGATGGATGTCAATTACCTGCCTCTGACAGACATGCGCATTGCAAGAACCTTTTGTTTCACCAATGAGGGGCAGGCACTGTATCTCAGCTCCCCAACAGAGATCCAGAGAATTACATACAGCCAGGAGATGTGTGACAACCTGCAGGTGAACACTGTAATATCTATATCTATATATATATATATATATCTTTGGATACAAAACAGCAGGGGTGCTGTAAAAGAGCTTTATCCATTATTCATGCCATCGTTAAAGTCTGCGATGAATGGTGGGTTTAGCCATCAGACATCATGTTTCCCATACATGTTGCACATTTTCAAGAATGTTTATATCATATGGTTTTACTGAGTGAATGCTTTTACTGGAATATGAGAATAATCATAGATAATTATTTAACATGTGAATATGGATTAATTAATATGATGCTGCCATAGTGCCATCTAGAGGTAATGGTCAGGAGAGTTTACTAGAGACTTTATAAAAAATAAATAACTCTATAAAAGAACTGTTTTAGCTAAGAATTGTTTTTTACTTTGTTTTTGTTCATTACAGGAAATGCTCGGGGAGCTGTTTACTCCAATTGAAACACCAGAAGCTCAAAACAGAGGGTTTTTAAAGGGGTTCTTTGGAGGAAATGCCCACACTTTCGACAGAGAGGAACTCTGTGTGTCTTTTTTTACTGTTTTCAAAAACTTATTACACAATTCCATTATACACTGCAGTAAAGATCTCAGCCTGTGCATCACTAATAATGCAACATGAAAGAATTAACCCTTTAATTATAAATTTAAAAGTAAAAAAAAAGGTCACTGTTAAAATATCAATGCTACCACTTAATTAAAATCTAATTTCACCTGATGTTTTTTCCAGTTGGTGAAGCAGCAGCTGGGAAGGCTTCTCGGAGTTTGGCGCAGCATATCCCCGGTCAGGGAGGTGTAGAGGGAATGAAGGTTGCAGCCAGTGGAGTAGTCGGTGATCTGGCACGGGCTCGCATTGCTCTGGATGAGAGAGGCCAAAGGTTGGGGGAGCTGGAGGAGCGAACTGCCTTGATGATGACAAGTGCAGAAACGTTCTCCAAACACGCTCATGAGGTGAGGATGAAAGGCAAAATTCCAGTTTAAAGGTCTGCACTTAAGGCATGCCTTTTTAAAAAAAAAAATATTTTCTATACTTTATTTCTTTTTTTTTTTTTAGGAAATTGGGATAAATTATTGTCTACAGCAACCAAAACATTACATATCTATTTAGAGTCATTTAAGTGCTAGGAGCCTCTCACTCACAAACTTGCCAGTTTGATAGTTCATTTCAAATGGAATATGCTATTTGTATTCTTGAGAGCTCAATAATTTTAAAGTACAGTAAAAAAACATATTCTATTTCATCTGTATTACATGGTCTAATTCATAGGTCTAAAGAAATGTTCACACTATTCTATGTGAGCTCTAACATCTTAAACTCCTAATTTATTTTTTGACAACAAGGCAGGGGGAGCCTTGATGTCCAGCATATGAAATACATACATTGTTATGTAGCATGTGCATTCATAGCACTGAAAATGTAATTATCAACTAGTTATTGGTTTCTACACTTTGTTCCAATTGTGATTTTGAGCGTTAATGTTGCAATTTGTCTGATTTCTCAGATCTAGTATTGCAATCCTGATGTCTATGTTATATGTTTTTATTGAGAGCAACAGACATTCAAGTCTTATAGACGATTATACAACTTAGCTATCTAAAATTTGCATTTGTGTCTGATTTGATCCAGTCAACTTAAACTTTTGCTTCCGTCAACATTCGTTTGTTTTTTGTTTCATAAAATTTTAACCTAATACTAGAAGGTTTTCTTTTTTTCACATTACACCTACATCATTCAGGTCATTGTTTCAGTGAGGCTCAGCAAAATAATGTCCGACCAAGCATTAAAGAAAATTACGGTCCTGCCTTAGATTTAAAGAAATATGCCTCAGACATAAATTGCAATGGCTAGTATTTCATCGGCTTTCAGCATTGCTCTTTATCTTGCCGACAGCAGTATTTAGAGTTTAGCACGCACAACGGTTCTCATTTGTCAAAGATTGTATCAGAATCTACTAAAAGATGTAAGGCCAACAGCTAAAAATATAATGCCAAAATATTTTTCAGACTTATCAAAGTGTCCACACTCACAAAACAAAGCACATTTTCCTAATAATTCACACCTGAGTGCACAAAGCTCCACGTCATGATCAGCCCTCTACACGCCTATAATCCAGCATAAATGGTTTAGGCAAAGCACCACATGTATGTCTTTGTGTATTTAAATAAGACACCAAATCAATGTTATTTCATTGTCACCAATGGCAATGAAAGCAAGAAAAATCTAAATGAACTCAAGGCTGAAAGTTTATTAGGGAGATGGATACATTTAAGTAGACAACTTTTATTGTCATTTTGTATACACAGAGTGTATACAACTGTTACGCCCCCAAGGTCTAGGAGTTCTGGGGAGGTAACATAAAAATGTGACCAGAGCAAATAAGTGGAATGTACTATGATTTATTAAAAGAGTCAAAACACAATACAGCTTAACCCAATTAAAACAAAAGAAAAGGGCAAACAAATTCAAGATTTGGTTAAGTGCAAATTTAATTACAAACTGTCCAAACCAGTCAGTCTTAGTTTAACTCAAAACAACCCAAAAGAAAAGACAAAGGGAGCACCAAACCACCCCAACACAAGCTTCTAGCTTGAACAAGTCCACGTAAGGCAGATTCATGAAAAAATATACAAGCTAGGTCAAAGAGTTCCAACTTCCCAAAACAGTTAGAAACCAAAGGTGGGGGAACAGCTTAACCAAAACATTTTTTCCTACTAGCTGTCCCTTAAATGAAAGCTTTCCAGGAGCTTTTATATGGTGCAGGTGGGCCTCATCAACATCCTGATTGGCTTGACAATCTTCTGCTGGTCCAATCATGTCACTGCTCCTCTGCAGCCTTCAGGCAGCCAACAAGGAAGATTTCTGTCAGAGCTGAACCTGCATAAGTAAAACAAACCTGCACAGTCCTTAAAAGCCAGGGGCCATGACAGCACTAAATTTCATTTATACAGCTTTCAGACAGTGAACGAGCAGCAGCTTATCAGTTAAAAAAAAGAACATTTCCATTCATAAAGTGCAGTAGTGATCAAATGTAAAAAGTGTTGGAGAGACATGGTGCAAAAAGGCATTGATATGCAAGTTTAGAGCAGTGCAAAAATAAATAAATATATATGGTGCAAAAATGCAGGAGAAAAACATTTGAGCTGAATTCTATTAGGTATGATGTTATCACTGTGATGCAGAGTCTTAAATTGTGACTTAATTTGCAGTTATTTAGATCGTCATCATGTATAGTTATGTTTGACCTGTGGAAGTACACTGCGATATTGGATGCTCATGATGACTTCCATCTATGATTGTTTAATACAAAGTGACACTGAAAGACTTGATCTGGCTTAAATATTTTCACATTATGGTCTTTGTCGGTGTTTTCCCCTTTTCTCCAAAACATGTATATGCCAGAATACAGTTTCAGGCCGTGTTCTGTGTGTAATAAGCTTGATAAATCAGATACTTGGTCCAGGGCACAGTTTTTTAACGCCTCAGTTAGTGAATATAGCTGTTCTAGTAGTTGGTCGAAGTCACTAAATTGGTGGTATCTTTGTTATCATAATGAATGCTGTAGGATGAAACAATGTTGCTGTGTGGGAGCTTTAGACCCTGATCTACTAAGATACCAAATAAGGAGCACTATATTGCTTGTGCAAAAAAACTGCAGGTGTAATCCGTAGGCGTGTTGCATAGGATCTAGCAAAACTGCAAGTGCAACTGATAACAGGTGAAAAAGTGCTGTGGATCACCCTATTTGAATACATTTTTGGAGAGCAGAGTGGATTTATTTCACCTGTCCCAGAGGCAGTCACAATTCTCACCATTTCTGGGTTAACATAGCATGTATAATAGCAATAAGAAAAAGATGGCAGGCAGAGGACAAGCTAAATTACCTTCTGTGTTTGTCTGAAATGAAAAGAAAATAATAATCTGGACCAAACATCTATAAGATGACTTTGAGGCGCAAACATGGCAGAATAGCCCTTTACATCTGATTCGTTCCAGCTGTCACAGTCTGTCAGTTATTGTATCCAATTCTGACCGAGAAAAAGCTGTCTCATATTTTCAGACATCCCTAATGCACATTTTTTATGAATGTTGAATTTCTGGAGGGTTTTTCTCACATTACGACAAAAGTACAGAGTTAAGTTTATAAAAAGAAAGGGGGAACAATGGTTGGTCTGCAAGCACAGTTTTTCAAAAAAACAAACAAAAAAACAACAACATTTCAGCAACTTACTGGAATGATCCATCAAGACCAAAGAAAGACCAAAAAAATATAACAGTGCTCAATGGAGGATATGTCTCTCCTACTAAAATTTCTCACAGTCCAAATATGTTGCGACACACTTGAAATATTATTTTTCCTCTTTCATCTATCATTGCTGCCATATACTTTGTTTTTGTATCACTGCTGACATTTTTGCAACTGACCTTCAAACATAATAAAGATGCAGAAATTGCACCTATAATCTGCTTCAGGTTTGAAATAAGTTATTACATTTGCATATTCTCCTTTGCACACCATAATAATTAACATATGATCCACATTTTCATGAAGGTAAAATCTTAGTGCTGCTGTCATGCTCAGTTTTCTGTGTGAGTATATAATCCAGATTCACATAAAAGGACCAAAACAAGACAATAGAAATGGTGATTATTTCCTGTGATTGTTGGATCAGCAAGAAAATGCTATACAAAGACCTCAGTGAGAGCTTTGGAATGAAAAAATGTCCACCACAGCACCTAATGCTTGTTAGAATAAATGGTATTGAAAATGTGCTTTCGCATTTGAATCTTTAAAATTCTTCAAATACATCAGAAACAATCACAAAATAATTGCTGGTTGATTTTCAGAAATAAAGATTCAAAGAATGCGTTTTACAAAAAATTTTAGAAAACAATGGCAGGAAAGTTAAAAGGGCCGGATCTTCAGAAGGCTTGCATGTTCTTAAACATATGTGCATGTGTTCCTGCACAAACACCAGATCTTTAAAGAAGGTGCAAAGTGATTTGCCCCTCCAATAATATGCAGATCATATTGTAAAGACCAAAGCGCTCAAATTCATGAATGCAGGTGGGCACAAATTAATGCAGCAGGATGGCAGACAATCTTTATCCAATAAAACCAAAATAAAAAAAAGAATAAAATATATGAAAAAAAGAATATATATATAAAAAATAGAATATTAAGATTCCTGCAAAAAGTCTCATACTCCTTGCAACCATGAAGCATGGTCATGTTGTTACTATTGCACCTGTTCAAATATATATTTTTCATGCTTCTTTTTTTTTTATTATTAACCTTACTTATTTGCACAGTTTATTTTTAATTATTAAGTATTATTATGGTTATTTTAAAATCATTTTTATGTTTATTATCTCCAACTAAAGGGCTTCTCTAATGGCCACTCTTAACTGCATTTAGAAGATGAAATATGCTCATTTTAATTAATAAATAAGTGGGCAACACACCCAAATTTAGCATGTACTAAAGACAAAATGCACATGCAACTTTGTGTCCCCTCTGAATTATAAAAGATCAGGCCCTAAGATCAGGGAGCTGCAGCACGCAGTACAGTCTATTTCAATTTTTCATTGCAAAAGGTGAAAAAGACCCCTGTTTGTTTCTTTTTTTTTTTTTGCACAGCTGCATGGTTCTAAGCTAATAGTGATGGAACTTGGACTTGAATTACAAAATCCCTGACAGATTATTTTTCTTTTATATTGTTGGCTAAATGAATTAATGCTGACGAAAACAATCCTTTTATGTGTTCAGTAGGAGTATAGTAAAAGAAACCACTGAATATTCAGCTATTTCAAATATTTAATTTCCCAACATTAAATGTTTATAACTCTTTGTTTTTACAGCTGATGCTGAAATGCAAGGACAAGAAGTGGTACCAGTTCTAAAACCAGGATGCAAGCACGAGGCTGACGCTGGCCTGTTAGGAACTTCATCCTGCAGCAGGACTTTCACATGTGAAACGAAAGCAATCAGAAGAGACATGATAGTAACTTTGTCTTTCCCGCTTTTAGAATCACCTGCGTGTTCTTCGGTGTCACTTTGCTGAAGGACAAGCACGGGTTTGTTTCTCTTCTAGACAGGGGTTGATACAGACTGTTGGAGAACGCCAATGTTTGATGCTCTAAAGAGGAACCTGGAAAATTCCAACGATTCTGTGTGAGTGTCTGTGCGTGCGTGTGTGTTTGTCTGAAAGTGAGCTCGCGTGATAGGGTTTTCTGGATCTTACTGTGTAGATACTCAAAAGTTATGAAACCAACAAGAAATGCATGAAACAGCAATGGATGAGTATTAAAAATATCCAACTGCCATATTAAAAATCAGCATGCTTATTTAACAGATTTAAAATTATGACGAAAAGAAACTTTTATTTATGATGTAAGCCAATGACAGAAACTATGAAAAACTTTATATTTTTGAGATACAGGCAAAAAATATATATATATCGAAAAAGGGAAACGTATAACTGCATTGCTATTAAGCCAAAATATGTTACTTTCCCTTTTTTTAAATTTTATTTCAGGTTGATTTTATTAGTATTAGTAAGCAAATATTACTTGATACAATATAAATGCACATGAATAACCATCTACACAACCTTAAAATAATGTAATATTGAAACTTTCTTATAACTTTATTTACTCTGGGCTGCACAGTGCAAGTTTAAAAAAAATAATAATAACACTTAACTCTGCTCATACCCAAGTGTTTTCACTTTTTCAGCTTAGGTTACAAAGAGGGACATCTCAGTACTCAAAAGTTGTATGAAAGCAGAAACTGGAGTGACTTAGGATAAGGAGAGTCTATTCTGAATCGTGTGTTTATATCTGTTGTACAAACCTATATACAATTTGTGTGCCATAAAAAGCGAGTAGGAGGAATGTTATCACTGGAAGCTTAACAGGAGGAGGTAATGTGTGGGAGGGATGGATCTTAAAATAATACACAGTTTTTTGTTTTTTTTTCTCTATCCATGTGAGGGCAGAGGATGTTTTTGATATGGTTGAAATGGCTTTGAGGCGAGGGATCCATCATGTTAGAGGGTGACATAAGCATTTGCTAAAGAAACTGTTCAGTAGTCTTTAAACTGCATTCCAATAAGCTTTAATGCTTATCTTTGCGTTTGTTTAGTTTGGATTCACTGGAAAAAAATGTTTTTTTACTTCAGACTGAATTACATTGTGTTTTGTTCAAATATAAAATACTTCAATTTGTCAAATCTGAAGATAAATTGATTTACATGAAAAGGAAGTTCTTTAGAACACAGTTTAACACATATAACATGTCTCTGTTCTTAAAAACACAAAAGAGAGAATCTTATGCTTTGTTTTAATCTACAACCATTTTACATTGAGCAAAACCTTAAAAATGGGGACAAAAAGATGGGTGTTCCCAGTGCACCACTCATGCAGGTCCGCTATGAGTGTTTATTTACGTCCGTCTTTAAATGCTGTTCTTAGATGTCAGTATTAAGCAGGACTTTTTTCTGTTGTGTGCGTGTTCAAGAAAGATTTCACATATGACTTATTTTCTTTCATTTCAATCAAAAGAAAATTGCACCCTCCCTTCTCTCTACAACGCATTGATGTGCATTATTCCATGTGAAGCCTAAACAGACATTTCCTCTCAACAGAGCAACATGCATGGAGATATAACCGTTTCTCCAATAAAAGTGTGAGCTTGGATCAGTTACATCTCTGCTGTCTGTGAGTAGTGTGTCTGTAAACAGTTCAGGGGAAATAACAGTATTTTTTTAGTGATGTTCAGATGTTGAGTCAGTGAGGGAAAAATGTGTATATGTGTAAACATTTGCTGCAATTTCAACTGAAGGCAAAAATTGTTTTTTTTTTCTTCCCTTTCAAGATTGTTCTTACTGACTATGAAAACCTTGTGTCTCAGTCAAATATTTGATGGTTACAGCCTCTTCACTGTAGGCTTATGTATTTTTAAAAGCAACTAATGTTTCATGATACATGGTTGTGTATCAAATTGTGATTGTGTTGTACGTCAGTGGGTAGCCACACGACACAGACTAACGGCGTCAAGCGAGAAGGATATTTCGTACTTGTGTACTCGTCTGTATTTTGAACTAATCTGAAAAAGAAAAAAAAAGTTATGGAGTACCAACTTTCATCACTCACACGCTAGTTCAGGACATCAAGCTTAAATCAAGTTGCCATGGTCATCTAGAGGCCACTCTCATGTGCAAAATCCAAAACATGCTGAATTAATTTAAAGTCCGAAAAACAAATATACAGACTCATGTCAGTCATTTCCATCAGCTTTCTCAAGCTGCTGAGACATTCCTTAGATATACACAATCCTCAAACACAGGTGCTTTAAGCTAACGATCCTGACATTTAACAGTAGAACTACATAGATAAAAGAAAAACACCCCATTTCAATCGAACATCTGGGTTGACATGTAATGATAATAATAATATTAATAATAATAATAATACATCACTCTCCTATCTCTGTACCGTCAGTGACATTTGTACTTTGTGCAGTTCTTTCAGTGGCAGACAAATTGCATTAAAGAAAACAAAACCAAAATTCAAAAAGGTGAAATAAACATACAAAAAAAAAAACAAAAAAAACGGACTTCTGCTTACAGGGTGTTTTGTTAAGATTTCTTTTTATTTTATTTGTTTTTTTTTTTGTTTGTATGTTTTCTGTTTTTATATCTACTGTACAGTTTAACTTTGATTGAAGAGCAAAACACACACACAAAAAAATGAGAGACTCTTGGGATATTTTCTGTATTTGTTCTACCTGTTACTGCTGGTACTGTACTATCTGGTATTCTGGCTGTCTAAATCACTGGAACTATGTAGTTCTCCACTCTGTAGTATGCTGTTATGGCAATTATTTGGTTTTTCCCAATAACGGCGACAACGTTTGTCTTATTTCAATGGATTCCACTTTTCGTTCTTGATATATTCTAGTGTAACAGAAACTACTTGATTAAAAAGGTCTGAAAATATGTTGATGCAAAAGCAAAACTGAAATAAACATTGATTGATGTACACACTGGGACACCCTGTTTGGTCACTAACGCTGTCATGTTCCTTTATTAAAGTGAAAGACAAATATTAGAGGTAAAGCTATAAGCTGTAATAGATGCAAATGAATACATTTACATTTTAGAGCCTGGATTCCACTTTTAATTAAATTGTAACAGATTTAACATTAGAGGCTCAAATGTATGCATAAAGTTTCTAAGACTTAGACAAACTTTATTTTCATTTTGTATGCAAAGAGTGCAGAGTCTGTGACATGATTTAGAGTTTCTTCAACATTCCTGGAGTGAAACATGCTTTAAATGATAATCTTCAAATGTTCCAAAGGGGTGAGTTTCAAGAAATATTCCAAGTGTGGTTTTGATATATCTGGAAACACTGGGGCACCATGCATGGTTCGAGTAACAACCATCTGATCCAGCCTGTGCCAAGATGCAAGCATGGAGATGTTTTAGGGGCTACACAGGAACTTTGAAGTCCTACCATTAAAACCTGATCATCTAACTCTTTAGGGGTGTCTTTCTACCACATTTGCACTTCTGTAGGCTGAAATTAGTTCTTAATCTTGATTAAACTGACCCATATAATGGCACGCATGTTAGCACTTTTTTTTTTTTACAGTTTATAAACTCTTGCTACTGATACCAGATTGGACTTAGGTTTGCACTTTGCTTAATTTGACATGTGAATATGCTTTTATATGAGCCATTCCTTTGCATCAGCAGATGTACAGTATATATTGCATTAATATGCTGAAAGATAAAGCTTTACCACAGTCCCAGATCTTTTTAAGCTCAATTCACCCTCCTGTTTAGTCTTTAAAAACAGCTCTGTTGTAGCAAGTGTTAAGATGTTTCTTTTTCATTTTCAAATTAAGCATAAACTATAAACTGCAGCATGCACTGTCTGAGATCCTTGGTCTTTATGCTGCTTTTTGTTCAGTAAAGTTCTGAGGCCTTCACAGAACAACTGTATCTACACAGGGAATATGTTGATTGGGAATATTAAAACAGTCGGTGTTGGTGTATTTAATAAAATCTGATTACCGGTACTAAGAGTTTTTATTCAGTGTAAAATTGCAAACAGTTCTGACAGCTTTTGCAGCTGTTTCAGCTTCCATTGCTAATATAATTGATTTTATGACACAGCTTGAACACAGCTAAATTGTGTTGACATGCTCAGATAGCTCTACCTCTCATTGAAAAGTAATGAGTTGTGTTCCAATATTACACTTTGAAACTCATTAAGTCAAAGAAGCACCTCAGAATGGTTCAAGACAAGCTGTCAATTTTGGATCAAACTTTTTGGAAGAACAAAAGTCTAAAATAGTTGTAGTAATAAAGAGTTTAACTGCACTTCTGATTGTGTCTCATGAAATCAGTTGATTATAGAGTTAAAAGGTAAACATAATAATTTGATATTGTGTTTGAATGTACTACATAATGAAAGAGAAGCATTACCATCTACACTATAGTTACCCTAGTCACTGAGCAAAATTAAAAGATGCCTGTTTTAAATTGATACTTTGCACCACCACCTATTCTATAGATAAACTCCGCCATCCCCGCATTTAGCTGTGTCATGTGACGGGTAACGCAAAAAGAGCAGACCCCGGGCAAAGCAGTAACGTCTATGCAGAGGATGACTTCCGTGCTGCTGACCAATGAAACGTTTGCCTTGGATTCTGTTGGTCGTGGAGCCAATCGTTACCGCAGTTCAGTGAGGCGAAAGCCAATAAGAATGCAGCTTTTTAAGGTCTGAACCCGCCTCTCCGCAGATTCCTTAAGTTTAGCTGAACTGAAGAAAAACAAACCTTAAAAAGGTTGTAGATGAAATATATTAGAACCGACATGTAATATCAACAATGTCTCTGCTTCATATAGCGTGTGTTTATGAAAACGGAGCAAAAATATACTAATACGCTGGGAGAGTCTTCCTCATGTTTTTTAGTTCAGTGAGGAAAGCAGACCTGGCGTTATGTCTGTGCGACTTTTTCTGCTGCTGGTTTTTAGTTTGGAGGAGTTTAGGTGCACAGTGTCTGGAGAAAAGTCTGGCTCAGTTATCAGTGCGGCTAAAACGTTGGTGTGGGGTCCAGGGCTGGAGGTGGACATCCTCCTCCCGGCTCGATTCTTTTACATTCAGGCGGTGGACAATTTAGGAGGAAAGTAAGTATTTGGGGCCCAGCTGCTCTGCAGATGTTGGCTTTGTTCCTAACTAGTTCCACTAACTCTCTGTCTATCTCTATATGTCTCTTTATATCTGTATCAAAAACCTTCTACTAAATAGTCATTTTAGCTATCCCCCACTTTTTTAAATATATTTTTTCTACTTAAGAAGAAAGATAATGTTAAAGCCAGTCGGGTTTAATTAGTTAAAATCCGTCTCATCTTATGAAACTAATCCAATCACAATCCATTCTCTACAAAAGTATAGTTCAGAGAGACCCACGTTTATGGTCCGTTAAACATTTGAGTCCACTTTATAATAAAATGGATTAAAATGTTTCAGATTTTCAATCAGATTTACATATAGGGTAGAGTTTATGGAGGACCAACTCTGCCATATTTAAAAATAAATACAGAAATAAATAAATAAATGCTCAATAAAAAAATAAGCATACAATTAACTGCCCCCCACAAATACAACAAACAAATAAATGTAGGTAAAAATTAAATTATACACTGAAACATTAATGTATAAATCTCTTATTTATTCTCTTTTGTAATAATTACCTTATTTATTTATGTCCGTTATAATCTTCAGCTTTATTTATTTATTACTTATTTTTTTAAGTATTAATTTATGTGCGTCTGATAATATTTGTGTCTGTTTTATTCTTCCTTTGTATTTTTTTCACCCTCTTTATTTCTTCAAAACTGTTTATTTCTGCCTGTTGTTTTTACATTAATATATGCATTTCTGCCTCATGATTCAAACGAGGAATGGGTGTGTCTTAGAGGATCAATTAATTTTATGCTTATTTATCTATTGAACATTGATTTATTTCTGTATTTTTAAATATGGCAGAGTTGGTCCTCCATAAAAGTTAGCTTGACTAAATACAAAACATGTTTTGAAATATATTATTCATTAAATGAAAAAAGATCATGTATAAACCAACCTGTCCCTCCTTTAGAGATGATAATAGTAATTATTATATGAACCCTAATAACGCTTTAATTGTTTAAATGTTTTAATTTGACCTAGCTGAATTTTCAAGTATGAGTAAAATATATTATTATGCTTGGTTTCTAAAGACTGAAAAAAAAAATTTAAAAAGTCCTAAAATGTGACATTAGACTTGTCAAGGAATATTATACTCTTTAAACTAGGGCTGCAACAATTAATCGGATTAATCTTAGACTAATTTTGTAATAGATTAATCGTTAATTGGAGTACAGAGACTCTAAAAGATGCCTTTAGCTGACAGAGCGACTCACTTAGAGCAAAAATGAAACCAAATTAATAAGAAAATATGTAAACATTTTGCAAGTGGAAAATTTTTTGTTTCACCTGGTATAATTCCGTACAAAAATCTTTAACGAATCTTTAGCTATCCAATTATTAATCGATTAATCGAAAGAATAAACGACAGATTATTCGGTTTTGCAAAATAATTGTTAGTTGCAGCTCTGCTTTAAACTTACTTTTAAATGTAGTTTATTTAATTGAATGTGCATTTTTTAATTTAGCCATGGATTTATTGATGGATTGGATGGATTATTAATTGTCTTTTGAATATAAGAGACCCTATCAAAAAATATGAATTAATATCTAATAAATAATTTAAAAAAAATCTCCAATGTGTGGGATCCAACATGTGTTGGCTATTATAAGTGTCAGGAATTTGCACCTTTAATAATACAAACACTGCCTTTTTTTGTTGTTGTACAATTTACCAGTTTGTCAAATCTATGGTCAACATCTGTTTTCATGTTCGCAATAATAGTAATAATAATAATAATTAAAAAAAGCAGTTTTTAAAGCACATTGAACCATTTTAACTCTTGTGGATCTTAAGATTCCATCACTTCTACTTGTTATTTCTTGAGAAAAGATGTTTTTTTTGTTCGGTAATGTTGTTTAAATTGTCCTTGTTAAAAATAATTGGCAGAAATATCTCCTCCAGTTATGCTCATAGAAATAACTGTTATTGTATCAGGTGTTACCAACTGATCATCCTTTCTGGTTACAGTTTCTTTTGTTCTTTTTTTTTCTAAAGTAAAAATTTAACATTTGATACCAAATAAAGATGTGGAGGGATTGAACTACAGGTAGTTTTGTCACATTATTCTCCAAAGACGACCCATCAAGGTTTCATGTTTAAGGTGAACACTCTGGATCAGTTTCCCTCATTTCCCACATAGAGCAACAATAGACTGGATTTTAAACAGACAGTGTTATGTTTGGCTATTATTAACAGCTAATCTTTCTATGTACCAATGTTTCAGTTTAACTACATCACCTGGAGAGAAGACCTTTGAGGTAAAGATAATCTGTCCAACAGAACATTTCACCAGGATCTGGACTCAGGTTCTAGATCGTCGGGATGGGTCGTTTTTGGTTCGCTACAGAATGTACGCCACCTACCGTGACCTGCACATCCATGTTCTGCTGGGTTCCAAGCATGTCGCAAAGTCGCCCTATATTCTCAAAGGTACACCACAATTCCACTTTAAAGATTAATGATGTGAGACTTTCATGATAATTCATAATAAATCTTCCCAGGCACAGTCTACCATGAGGGCTGTGACTGTCCTCAGCCGAATGGTTCTCTATGGGAGAAAAACATGCACTGTCCTGAGTCCTTCGCCCAGATCAACAGAGATCTGTCCCTTTTTGCAAGTGTGGATCCAGATCAGAACGCAAAAGAGATCCCACAGCGGTTTGGGCAGCGACAGAGCCTCTGTCATTACACAGTTAAAGACAACAAGGTATATTTTTCCTTTGACAGATGGATAAAGACAGAAGATGCATTTAAAAGTAATACAAAAACTCTTGCTTAAAAATGGTAAATACATTTCTTTGACACAATTTTTAAAATCCATTACATATTTTTTTTAAATCACAGCCACAAATCTGTATTAGATTTTAGAAGATATAAAAACACAAAATATAACATGATTTTGAATTGGAAGTGATTTGTGAAAACGGTGCATAGCCATCTTCAGCTTTTATTTGCTGCAGTTTTAGCAATACGTTCACCTGCACACTTAAAAGATGAGATTTTTACATATTTTCCAAATTAGCTCAGTCTCTGTGGGATTGACTGGATGGCTGTCATTCATTTTAAGTCAAATATGTCAAATTTTAACATGTTTATTTCTTGGATCATTATGTTTCAGCTCTTTTTAAAATCTTATTAATCTGAAAGAAAATAAGCATTAAGCTGCCATCGCCATGCTACACTCTGATGTTCAGACTGTCTACAGTTCAGACAGTTTTTTTTTTCTTTTTATTTTTGACTTTTTTTGATTTTTTTAAAGATTGGTATGCTTTTTTTATAACCCTTCCCTGATTAATCTCCACTTCAGGACTGACCTATCACCTTTGTTCCTTATTCTTCATGATTCCGTTTTACAATAGTTCTGTAGCAAACCTCGGAGATCCTCATAGAACGGTACTAAGAACTTATTACCTTCTGGATTAGGTCTGAGGGCTGTGGTTTTCACAGGATTTTTAATAATGGCGTCAGAGTTAAATTGGGACATGAAATATTTTTTTGTTGTTAAGTTTCCAAACCATGTGTTTTTTCGCTTCCACTCCCCAATCATCAGTAATGCATTGCTTTTCTCCATCACATAACCCCAGAGCATGCATTAAGACTGTGCTTGTAATTCAATGAAATGTTAAAAAAGGCCCTGTAGATCAATGGAAATTAGATAAGAGTATTTTTTCCCAAACATGGCATCTTTTCAAAATTCAATTTGCTTGCTTTATAAAAAAGAAAACGGAATCAACTTGAGCATGCAGTCTCTGATGCTAACTACATAATTTTGGCCAAACAGCTTTCCATATGCATCTTTCATCCTTTCTTTTCTCCTCAGGTCTATGTAAAAACATTCGGAGAACATGTCGGTTTTAGAATCTTCATGGATGCCATCCTTCTCTCGATCACTAGAAAGGTAACCTCTTACAGTTAATATCCTAAAAATAATAATTTGATGTCATGATCTTGATTAAATTGAAACCTCTTTTCTGTCGCTTTTTAAATCATGCATTTATATAAGAAAATTCATTAAACCATTATGCATAACCTTCTTCTTAATCAGTGCGACGACTTCTCTGCACAGTACTTGACTTTTAACATAATCAGACAGAAGGAGAATGACTGATATTCTACTAGTGTTTGTTTGCAGGTGCGACTCCCTGATGTGGAGTTTTTTGTCAATCTTGGTGACTGGCCGCTGGAGAAGAGGAAACCTACTGATAAGCTTCATCCCATCTTTTCCTGGTGTGGCTCAAATAACACAAGAGACATAGTCATGCCCACTTATGATCTGACTGAGTCAGTCCTTGAGACCATGGGAAGGTAAGGCTTTTAATTTCAATTCAGTTCATTTCTATAGCGCCAATTCACAACACATGTCATCTCAAGGCACTTTACAGTTCACCAGATCATCCAGTCAAATTGATTCAAAGTTTTCCATCTAAGGAAAACCAGTTGATTGCATCGACTCATTGACTGGAATGCAATCCCTCACACTAAGCATGCTTGTAGCGACAGTGGACTGTCCAGGAAAAACACAGCCAGGCAGACTAGCTCTGGGCCAACTCCCATGTCAGAGGATGAAGAGAGCGCATCCAGCCAGTTACAGAGAAACAGATCTCCAATATCTATAAACAAGGGTTTTGATGACAGCAGCACAATTGTTATTTCTCTCCAGGATGGAGTCACAGTCAAACAACAGCTTTAGCTTTTAAAAGCTGTTTAGCACTGGAGTGAGCAGGACTAATTGTTATATTCAGTAAAAGTTTGCAGGCTGATTATTTTACCCAATCAGCAATTTATACTGTCGAACTTGGAGGGCCCTCTTGGAAGTTTTGGAAATGAAGCTGCAGACAAAGGCCCCTAGTTTAGCTCGAGGGATTTTTTTCCTAAAAAAGAAAAATTAGGAACAGTTCTTCTCTTGCAAATGTCTGAAAATAGAAAAGCTAGAAAATGGTATCTTACAACAGATACTCTGTCTTCCGTGCCTTTCAGTTTAATATCCCTTTTGACTTTTTTACACACAAAACACAAAATTCACTCTATACTGTATTTTATGATAGACCAGGGTTCAGACCCCCCTTAAAAAAACTTGTTTAGAGCCATAACTGTTATATATCCTTAAAAAAATTAAAACTCATGATTATAGATAAATATCTATTATATGTAACTTTAATTTTCAGTTAAAAAGAATAATAAAACTAGAACACCATTTATCAATTGTTCACAGTTCAGTGTTAATGATAAGAAACCAAGGTTTGTTTGAGCTCCTGGCCCAGCTTCTCTCTCCCACCTGGTTCTGCTGGAGGTTTCTTCCTGTTAAAAGGGAGGTTTTCCTCTCCACTGTCGCTACATGCATGCTAAGTGCGAGGGAATGCAGAGTCAATAAGTCCTAGCAATCAACCGGTTTTACTTAGAAGTACTTTGAAGAATATGATTGTGTTAGCTTTATAAATGAATTTCATATTTTCTAAATGCAACTTTTCTCTGTGTGAGTCTCATCAGGTTGAAATATTAGCAGCTCCAGTTTCAGCTTTAGTCCTTTAGCATTATTAGCTGGGATAACATTAACACAGACTAGCACATTTTTGAAGACTATGCCAACATATTTAATGCAGGAAGGGGAATAAAAAGGCAGAACATAGCAAACTTATTCTACTGGACGATCAGGTTTAAACCATTTTTAGGAATAACTGACTTGTATCTAATTTTGTGGCTTTAACAATCACTGATTTAACAGGATTCAATCACTGTAAACACTATAAAATAAACAATATTTGAATCTTTTTCTGGTAAACCGAGACATTTAACTTAGTTTCTTTTTCATCTAATGGTCAGAGTTAGCCTGGACATGATGTCTGTTCAGGCCAACACTGGGCCGCCGTGGCCGGAGAAGAACGCCACCGCCTTCTGGAGGGGCAGGGATAGCCGTCAGGAGCGCCTGCAACTGGTCAAGCTCTCTAGAGCTCACCCTGACTTTATAGATGCTGCTTTTACCAACTTCTTCTTCTTCAAACATGACGAGAGTCTCTATGGCCCGCTGGTCAAACACGTCTCCTTTTTTGATTTCTTCAAGGTAAGAGTCACAAAGCTGCATGATGACACATTGTTACTCTGTAAAATGTCTTAAACTGATTAATTATATGTAATAAAATGGTGAACAGCATTGAAAACTATTTATATTCCTATCATCCTAACTTTATTTGTTTTATCCCTTTTAATTGCTTTGCATCCATCACTGTGATGTTTTCCTTTCTTGTGCCCTTTTATCTCTTATTCTTAAATCTCATTCAATAATTTTTTTGGTTGTCCATTTTGTTTTCTTTTTTACTCTTAGTATTGTTGCCAAATTTTCCCTTTCCTTTGCCCTTTTCTCATTTATACAGTCTTTTTTTTTTTTTCTTCCTTCCTTAAGGAATCTTATTACTAATTCCAGCCTAGAGTAAAAACAACTAATAAATAAATATTGGATGATCTGTTTATTAAATTAAAAAAAAGGTGAAATGGTTGGAGAAATATTAACTATGCTGAATTAAAACTGTGGCAAAAATTATTTGTTTTCTTGTTTTCTCTCCTTTTTTGTTCACCTGCAGTACAAGTATCAGATAAACATCGACGGGACAGTGGCAGCGTACCGTTTGCCCTACCTACTAGCAGGAGACAGCGTGGTCTTAAAGCAGGATTCTGGCTACTATGAGCACTTCTACAACGAGCTGCGACCGTGGGAGCATTACATCCCAATAAAAGCAAACCTGGGTGACCTGCTGGAAAAGATCCAGTGGGCCAGAGACCACGATGAAGAGGTGATCATATGTTGGTTAATTATGGTCGCAAAAATGAATGGTGTCATTATGATTAGCCTTTATGGACTGTTTTAACGGTCAAAAATGTCCTACAACTATCAAAAAGGCACACTTTAGCTTTTACAACAGGACCAGTTATAAACGAGCTGTTAAAACATCATCTGAAGGAGCAGCGTAAAGGAAGGATACAGGCCCTTATTGGGTCTGTTAAATAATGTTCACATTAATTTTGCAATCCATTTCTTCAGTTTGCTGTGTAATGCTGTAGGCAGCCCATTTTACAATCTATTATTCATGAGGATAAATCTATGAGTTGCTGAGATTTTCTAATGCCACCATGAGTTAACTATAAAAGTCGATCAACAAAAGCTCAACAAATACAGTGCCTTGAAAAATCATAACACCTTAAAATGTAGTCACAACATAGTTTTTTTTAGTGTGTTTTAGTTTTTTGTTTTGTAATTTTAAAATCAGAGGTGTCAAGTAACGAAGTACAAATTCTTTCTTACAGTTCTTAAGTACACTTTTTAGTTATCTTTACTCCATTACTTTACTTTTCTTCCTACTTCTGACTTCTACTCATTACATTTTCACACAAGTATCTGTACTTTCTATTCCTTACATTTTTAAAACGTTACTCGTTACTCTTGACTTCAGTTTAATGTTTAAAAATATTTATTTCACATCATGTGCGCCATCCAATGCAGATCATTGGCTCCATCCACATCTAGTAAAAACTAGTGTAATTGGATGAGTCATATAACGCAAACACTCATTGGTTAGCTAAAGGAAATCATCAGAAGCAAGCAGGTGTTCTTCAAACTGCAAACGTGAATTGTCTATGCCATGCTACAATGTCGGATTCAGAAAAATGTTGAAATGTCTGAAAGGTCGGACACAGGCGAGAGCGTATCGGGAGACGGAGATCAACAAGACCTCCCTCATCCTTGGAGCTATCTCAAAGAATTTTTCGAAATAGTCGAAAAATTTAGCTTTCAGTTCATATAGTGGCATCTGGCTGTTTGTTTTAAAGGTTACTTTATACTTTTATAATTTCAGTAGTTTTTTGAGCACATACTTTTTCACTTTTACGAGGTCAAGTTGATACTTTAAATTTTACCAGAGTGTTTTTAAACTGCAGTATCTATACTTCTACTTAAGTGTAGTTTTGACACAACTGGTTAAAATTCTAATCAAGCACAATTAGGGCTGGGTATTTTCGCCAAAGTCCTGAATCGATTCGATTTTGATTCATACAGTTGGAAATCAATTAATTTCGAATCGATCTGTTTTTACAATAATGAAAGTGGTTCAACTGTCTTTCAAAATGCTCATGTATTTTATTTTTTCCTGTCATATTAACAACCAAGTGCAAACTTGTAAATCAAACAGTTTAAACTTGAAATGTGAACAAAACTGTCTCAAAAGTGCAAACTTGTTTGTGAAAAGTGAAAAAGTAAAGCCTCACTTGATCGAGCAGACGTGTGATCTGCATGAGCTGCATTATCTTCGCTGCACAAACCACATTTGCAGCATTGTAACAACTACAGGGTGTTTGCTGGTCGGCCCCCATTTGTTAATGTCTATATTTGCAGCTGTCTGGCTTGAAGTAATCATGAGTGCATCTTTCCTGCTCATTTGATTGTGAACGTCACGCGTATCACTATAAAACTAATCAATCTCATTCCATAGACATCGATTTTGCAAAAATGTAAAGGAATCGATCCAAAATTGATTAAATAAATATTTTTTTTACCCAGCTCTAAGCACAATATATAGTTAAAATGGTGGCAGTTGGCAAAATGGGAAACATTCAAATTGGTGTGAATGCATCACATTCCTGTCCATTTCAAACTTGATGAAAACACATTTTTAAATTCAGCATCTAAACTATGCTCTTGAAATGCAATTTTTCTTTAGCCCTTTTTTAATAATAATAATTTTTATCTTGTTGCAGGCAAGGAAAATTGCTCTGGCAGGACAACAGTTTGCACGGAATAATCTAATGGGAGACAGCGTATTCTGTTATTACTACAAACTTTTCAAGGTATTTTCCATTTATTTTGTCCTGTTTTCCTGCAGTAACACCAACCTGAAAGCACCACAGTAGCTTTTGTGAAGGGTAAACTGTATTCATACTGTCCTTTTTGTTGTGCTTCTTGTAGGAGTATGCCAAACTTCAGATCACAGAGCCTAAGGTTCGAAAGGGCATGGAGCTTGTAGAGCAACCCAAAGATGACTTGTTCCCATGTTCCTGTCACCGGAAAGCGGTAAAGGATGGCAGCAAAAAAAATCACCATCAATAAATGTATTTATTTCTGTTGTAGAGATCATAATAGATTTCTTTTGTGATTAATTTGCTTTATTTACAAGCGTTACAAGTTCCAGAAAATTCAGTAGAAACTCAGCTTGATCATAATAGGACACAATAAGACTACTACACCGCAGCTTCCTATAAGAACAAACTTTTCATCTTGCAGTATTTGGCTCCCTCTGCTGTATATGAATTGCCATTGCACCTCCAACCACGTTCTGATGATTTAATAAAAAAAGTTGAAGTATTTTATAGGCATCTTATGTAGTTTTTGGTATGATTGTTCCTGAGTTAACTAAACTATTTTCTAATGATGTTATTTGTCTTTCCCTTTTGCAGGTAAAGGATGAACTTTGAGAGAAACCCATGATATCTGAACCCAGCAAACAATTTTTCAAGTTATGATTTATTATTTTATGAATGACATTTTTTTTAAAACATTAAAGATCTTTTTTTAAATGTTGTGTAGGTTTTATTTCTTTGCAGTTGTTCTGTATGTATACATGTGAAAAATATAGATCTAAAGTATAAAACCATAGCGAATTTAAAGCAAATGTAGTAATGCTGCTGTATTTGTGCAACAAGCAAAAAGATAAAAAAAAAACATGCATATTATTTTATTGGACCAAGTATGACAGTTTTGCAGGTGAAGGAGAATATTTCATTTTTTTTCCAAAACTGAAATTGTCTTTTATGCGAAATTTCTGTGTACAAACAAGGAATTAAACTTTTCTATTGCTTTCAACATAATATTTGGGACAAATGACAACCTGCCTGTTTAAAAAGAATACTGAAAGGAGGAGCTGACAGCAAAAAAGTTAATAGCAAAGGTTTGACCCAAACATTGCATAACAAATAAGAATAAAAAGTCCTATATTGTAAATTCAAAGGCATGATCAGCCATTCCTCAAAGGAATGGCTGATCGATTCGATAAGGAAGGAAATTATGTAAATATTTAATACATTTCTTTACATGATACATTTTGACTTAGATGATGAAATCCAATTGAATTCACAAGTCACTCATGGTAAAGTCACTAAATCAACACAGACAACTGAATAGCAGTACGCAAGTTTGCTTTATTTTAAGAAAACAAAGGAAGTGCTTTGTAGACGGCAAAAGCCTTAATTATTCTCTGACCACCTTGTGTGGGAAGTGTGTGTTGAACTTGGCACTGATGGCCTTGTCTTGTTTTTGTCGTCCATCCCCTGAAGTGCTTGAAGGGGGGGTGGGGGCAGAGATGTTATACTTCTTTTTGGGCCTTAAACTTGTAAAATTCATAAATGAAAGGAAGGTCAGTCCTGGTGATCCTCTATTATTTGTTGAGATTTGGACCTGTGCTGTTTTTTAGATGAGCTACACTACTGTACACAGAGATTTGGATTTGCGCAATACTGATTATGACTAGAAAATCCTTTAGAAGGTTAGATTTTATTTTTTTTTAAATGCAGCAGGAAGTACAGTATTGACTTTTTTCTGCTCATGGTCTGTGTGCGAGGACCTCCTCGGGTTATTAAGTGGTTCCTAACTGGAAATGGTTTACAGTTTTGTTGGGGATGAGGAGAGCGTGCTTTTAAATTCAGCACCAGGTGGTTCTGAGGCAGTCCATCAAAATATGGTGACAGCATCATGCTGTGAGAATCTGTTAAAATGGCTTAGTCAAAGTCCACACCTAATTAAAAGATGCAATCCAATCAGTTCACTTAAAACAAATATATATATATATATAATATATATATATATATATATATATATATATAAAAAAGTCAGCTCCCCAACACTAGATGGCACTAATTAGCAGTCATTTTAAATCGTTTTCTTTTCAAAACGTGTTTGCAGAGGAGGAGAACAGCCTGTAATGGACAAGTTTAACGAGGTAAACTATCTAAACTCAGGTGGACATGTGTTTAGGCTGTGAGATTCTGGTCATACATGCATGAAAATGTGATGAATGTTATGAGGCGTGACTGACTGGAGGTTTTATTGTTTTAAATGTGAATTTTCAGGAGTTGGTGAAGGTGCATTTCGGGGCAAAGAGCCTAGACGCAGTGTTGTCATCTCCAGCCTCTGATAAAGATGTTCATACAGCTGTCATTCTGACACATGGTGCAGGAGGAGACATGAATTTCAAACATTTGGTGTCTTTAGCACGCGCCCTGACATCTGAAGGTTTAGTCTGCCTCCGTTTCACATGCAAAGGCTTAAACTTGGCTTTCAGAGTTAAAGCTTACAATGCTGTGTGGGTAAGTATTTTAATTTGTTTTTATAATGCAGTAAATTTAACTTTTCATTTATAT